AAATAACTTCAGTACTCCATTGTCGTCCATTCTTCTACCCATATGGCAAAATCTTTTTTTTTTTTTTTCTTCTTCAGATTAAAAGCTACCTTCATGCTTTAAGTAGTCAGTCTAAACAGAACATCTGGCTGGCATTGATAAATAGGACACAAGGTTATATTTTAGGAAAAGAAACGTGTAAAACAGGATATGACTACAATAAACACTGAGACTTTCACTGAATAGGATAGAGGATGAAGATCCCACCCACTGCCCCAAACTCACTATGAAAATGTATTTCTAATGGCTTGCTTCTAAAGTCATTTTTGAGTTCAACAAAGGCTGAATAGAAGATAAAACTTAAGATTCAATATTTCATATTTTGAGGCTTTTGGAGTGACAGATGAAATGATTTTGAATTAAAAATTTAAGTAATTTCAAACATTTAAATGTAAAGGTGCATTGCTTGAAAGAATCATTAAAAATGTAGTTAAAAACGGGTAACTTCGCAGCTAATAAAAAGTAGTAAAATGATTAAAGCAGCTTTAAATTCACGTGATATTGTGGTGATCAGAAAATGCTATGAAATGTCCATGTGCATGAATCTATGAAATATTTCTTGAGTTGAACGTGGTTGGCAGGGTGGATTGAAATACCCAGTTTTGTCTGGATTCGGGGTGACGACGGTAACCTAATGGTTAAGAATCAGTACTGGTAAACCAAAATTTGCAGGTTCAACCTCATGAAGGAATCACAGCAGTCCTGTGATTCCTACTTTACTGTTGTCATGTCATAAAGCAGACCATTTAGTGGTGCAGACCCTGTCAATTCTTTTCTATAAACTGCCTTGAATGAGAAATAAGTTGCTTAAGATCCATTTACTGAAAATAAAGGCACCAGACCCAAATTTCATCATGAATAGACAGTTAACATAATGGGAAATCACTTTAATATACCCAGCCTCTTAAAAATACAATTCAGTGCACTCATAAAACCTTCATGCGTTTTTCCTTCAACATTCTTTTTTCTTCATTCAAACAAACTGTGACAATGATGGGACTACTTTGAAATTAAAATACATGAATCATCACACAGAAAAATTACAAATAACATTCCTGTCATGTTAAAGGAATAGTTCACTTAAAAATGAAAATTTTCTGAAAATGTACTCACCCTCACGCCATCCAAGATGATTAGATTAGTTTGTTTCTTTATTGGAACAGATTTAAAGAAATTCAGCATTACATCACTTGCTCACCAATGGATCCTCTGCAGTGAATGGGTGCCGTCAGAATGAGAGTCCAAACAGCTGATAAAAACATCACAATAATCCACACGACTCCCGTCCATCAGTTAACATTTTGAAGTGAAAAGGTGTTTGTACGAAACAAATCTATCAAGATGTTTTTAACTTCAAACCGCTGCTTCCGGCTAAAATACTCTAAAAGAGGATTCTGCCTAATAGAGTCCTCTCTCCATAACATTACTTTCTCTGGTAAAAAGTTGTCTGGTCTGAATCAGGGGAGAAATATGCACCGATCAAGCACGGCTTACAAGCAAAAACAGTCTAAACCATTTCTAAACAAATATTTTGATGTTTTTAATCAGCTCTTCTGACAGCACCCATTTCTCAAACCTATTCCTCTGAAGTTTACATCACATTTACATCTCGGATGGCCTGAGGGTGAGCTGATTTTCAGCTAATTTAAATTTTTGGGTGAACTATTCCTTTAAGTTTCCATCAATAATCTTCTAAACACTAAACAATGTATAAAAAAGCTAAAACAATAAGATAAATATGCTTGATCCAGTAATGCAGTGGTCCATAATAATTCATCATCTGCACATGTATCAGCATGAATTTGGTTTACTCTCAATTCTCATTTTAGTGTTCACACTATTATGAGTTATTATGCATCATTGCACAAATGGTATCACAATGGTAGTGTAACCTAAACGTGGTATGGAAAGACATTCATAAAGCGCAGATATTAATTAATGCTATAATACCAATACATACATGACAAACATTTAAGTCATCTTTCATAATGCATATCAACCATTTCATCCCAGCTTTGAGTTACAATTGACATCTCAGTACATCTATACATATATATATAGGATGAGGGAGCATAAATAGCGGCATTGTTATCATCGGAGTAGCCCAAAATCTCTCAAGAGGAGCCACTGTGTGGGATAAAAAACCGGCCTGAGAGAATGTCATGGGAGTCAGGCTGTCTACACAAACAAGAGGACAAGAATCGAGATTAGTGTTGAGTTATAGCATTCCAGGGACTTTCAGAACTCTTCTGCATACCTTCATGTTGACTGAGCCTCATTACTGACATTCCTCCAGCCATCATCACCTTGACTATTATCGCTATGACACTGCTTACAAAGGCAGGATCCTAGACTTTCTCCATGAGACTGTTAAGGTTGATCTAGAGCAGTGGTTCTCAAACTTTTTACAGCGGCGTACCCCCTGGGGCATTTAACATTCTTCTGCGTACCCCCTCTCTTCCACTTAGACCGCAGTCACACCTTTTCTATTAAAGGACATTATTTGCCCCCTTAAACTGATTTACAGGTGCATTTTTTACCTTTATAGAGGCAAAGATTTTCTATCCTTATTAACTGTATGTCATGTTTTCCCCTCTCTTCCATTTAGACCGCAGTCACACCTTTTCTATTAAAAGACATTATTTGCCCCCTTAAATTGATTTACAGGTGCATTTTTTACCTTTATAGAGGCAAAGATTTTCTATCCTTATTAACTGTATGTCATGTTTTATGCCATATTCTTAACATTCCATTAAGTGTATTAATATAATAAATAAAGCAATAAATGATGGCAAATTTAAGTGATACTTGTAGATTTAAAAATAAAACCGCCAATAGGTGGCGGCAAGTCGCTGTCTTAATGAGCCAGGCGTCACATCATTCATTCATTCATTCAGTAACGAAGCAAAAATAGTTATGAATGGGTTATTAATCACTGACTCTCCAAATCGTTCAAAGCCGCAGATTCGTTCACTAACGAAACACTGCTGTATGTTGCTTGGAGACGCACACCAGATGATACGGATTTCGTTGGAACTATTATTTCGTTGTGGACACGGTCCGTGTCACTCGTTCAAATTGCTTATTTCTCTGGATTTAAACATTCTTCGAAACATTTGGGATAATGTAAGTACACAAGTCAGCAAAATATATAACACTGTTCTAGTGGTTTTTGGATATTTTAATAAACAAATCGTACATATTGTGCCTTTAAGTGAAGATCTACTTATTGAACAGCAGCGTGATTTGCTAAAGCAGCATATTCAGCGGGCATCCTATCGCATGCACGCTGCTTGTGTGGATCAGTGGATGCAATCAGTTTTGACCGCAAAAGATGAGGTAAGCTGATCGGATATCATGTATTTGACCGTTTACGGCACTCCCATTTTCCTATTTTATATTCTTAACATTCCATTAAGTGTATTAATATAATAAATAAAGCAATAAATGATGGCAAATCGAAGTGATACTTGTAGATTTAAAAATAAAACAGCCAATAGGTGGCGGCAAGTCGCTGTCTTAATGAGCCAGGCGTCGCGTCATTCATTCATTCATTCATTCATTCAGTAACGAAGCAAAAATAGTTATGAATGGGTTATTAATCACTGACTCTCCAAATCGTTCAAAGCCGCAGATTCGTTCACTAACGAAACACTGCTGTATGTTGCTTGGAGACGCACACCAGATGATACGGATTTCGTTGGAACTATTATTTCGTTGCAAAATAGAACAAACATGACAATATTCTGTTTAAAATGTAGGCTACATTTAAAATGTTCAATGTTCACACTTGAACTGTTGTAAAAAGTGTCACATTTGCCATCGTTTGGATATTCAAGGAAATTTGCATACTGGCTGGTATTCTAACATGAAAACAATAACTCGCACAGGGTATTTTGCTCTTCATGCCATACATTAGAAGCGGCATTTTGCTTGTCAGAAATACATGTTCGGTTTTAATGTTACTTTAAGTTGGGGTAGAATTAGGCTAAATGATTGCCAAAACTCAGAATTGTTTTCGTGTACCCCCTCCGTCACCTCAGTTCCAATTTGAGAACCACTGATCTAGAGGTCACAGTGTCAAAAACAACATGGAAGCAGTACATACTGCTGCCGTTAGGTGCATAAGGCTTTATAGACTGACCCAAGGCCATGTGTCACTGATTATGACATTGAGCACAAGCTCAGAGATGTGGTCAGCACACTAGTGTGTAGTAAATTAGAAAGTCATGGTTGTAAAATCGATATGAAACAAACAAACATATAAAACATGAAATGCTGCCCACTTATGAAACTGCAATGACAGCCTTGGAGGTAAAACAGTAACACTGCAAAACATTTAGTTCTTAATGAGTATTTTTTGTCTAATCTTCCAGTAAAATTGTCTAAAAATCCTTCAAAGAAGATAAATGCAATCTTTACACATAAAATGTACAACACTACATAAATAAGACTTGCTTTCAATAATATAAATTTGTTTTGTTTTTGAATGAAGTCTCATACTCAGCTAGGCTGCATTTATTTGATCAAATGCAGTAAAAACAGTAATCTTGTGAAATTACAATTTAAAATAACTCTTTTCTATTTTAATATAGTTTCAAATGTAATTTATTCCTATGATGGCAAAGCTGAATTTTCAGCAGCCATTACTCCAGTCTTCAGTGTCACCTTCAGAAATCTTTTGATTCTTTGATTTGAAGTTCATAAGTGCAGCATTTATATATCAAACAGAAATTATTTGTAACATTATAAGTCCTGTTTATACTTAAAACAATGAAACAAAATTCACTAATATTTAAGATATAACGAGAACTTATGCAGTGTTGCTTCAAGTAAATTTATCTGGAAGTTCTACTGTAACATTTGACTGGAAAAAAGTCAAGAAATACTCATAAAAAAAACTTTTTAGCAGTGTAGCTTTGACTTTGGTTTCTGTTAAATTGATTCATAATAGCTTTTTGAATACAGGTCCACAAATACTTTAAAATACAGTCTTTCATATTGATTATGGTACTACGATTAAAAAAACAATAGTAATTTTTTTTTATCATCTCTACAAAATAACTAAGTACAATCAGTTGTACTTTGCTATAAAGGCAAAATATGAAATGCAGAATGAAAGCAGTTTAAATGACTGATTCAAGCCTCTCTGTTGTCATTGCGGAAGCCTGGAGAATGAATGTGCTTGAGGGTCTCAAGCCTGTTATTCAAATGACAGCAGGTCAGGGTGGGATTCTTCGTTCTCCAAGTTGAGGGTCCGGTAATCCACTGTGCCGTTCCCCAACAATTCCCCCTCAGTGACGCTGATGCGGCAGCCCCCTTTCCCTGGACACGGGGTGGAAGCCATTCTAGTTTCTGAGCTGGCCAGTTTCTTTGGGTCCAGATTGTCTTTGTGAATGAGATCTGGAACAGAGAGCAGCAGCTGTGACTGATCGACATCCTCTGAATTTTTCTCATCCGTCACCACAGCTGTGGGCTTGTTGTTTAGTTCTAAACTGGTCTTCTCCATCTGGCTGTCGACTTGGTCGCCGGGTTCTGAAGGTTTCTCAGTGCCGGACTCTTCAGGCTGAAGCTCAGCTTTATCTTTGGAGATCTTGTCAGGTGAGGAGACGAAGGAGGATTCTGGGGAGGATACCACGGGGTCAGAGGATATCATCATGTCCTGGGTGGTCTTCAGGGCCCGTGGGAGACGCTTTTTGCCAGTGGGAGGTGGGGGATCTAGCCGAGGGAAAGAATCCAGGGAGATGTGACTGTGTGAGAGAAAGAAAAAGCAAAGACACAATGTGATCACGCAAGATAGAATGACCACAAAAGATCATTGCAAATATGTGGCCTGAATTTCCTCACACACGGTGGTCCAATAAGATTTATTCACTTCATTTGAATAAATCTTATTAAAGGTAAATTTTAAAGCACCGATCAAGCCTACAGGGAAAGGGAAAAAAGTAAACAGCAGAACACGTCTTTCTTTTGAATTCAGAGGATCATTTTTAGGCAGGATAAAAAGATGGTCCAAAAGACAGCTGGACAACTCATTATCTTTGCCATATTTCCAATGCAGGGAAGCTGATTTGAATTTTAAACTTTGGATTGTGACGGTTGTAGTTCACTTAGAATCCTTTTGTGACAAAAACTAAAAATGTACAATAAATAAAGTAATAAATGTGGGAAAGCAGCAGTACTTACATTTTTTAAATGCTCTATATAAATAAACACTATCATGGGTAAGTAGTTTTTTTTTTTTAAAGAAAGGTATATTTTCATTCAGCAAGGATGCATTTTAATTGAGCAATTAGGTCACAGTAAAACTTTTACAATAAGTAGCAATTTTTTGACCAAATCAGTACGTTAGAGTCTTTTCTAAAGGATCATGTGACACTTAAGACTGATGTAATGGCTGCTAAAAATTCATTTGCCATCACAGGAATAAATTATTTTTTAAAATATATTAAATATTATTTTAAATTGTACTAATATTTCACAATATTACTGTTTTTACTGTATTTTTGATCAAATAAATACAGCCTCTGTGAGAATAAGAGACTTCTTTCAAAACCCAAACTTCTGAACGGAAGTGTAAAATATATATGTTAATATATTATAACATGTTTATATTATAAAAGGTCAGTGGACAAGAATAGTAGATGCAATGACGTAATTACCTGCTCACAGTCGTTTAGTGACACTTTCTTGTAGTGAACGTTCCATATTAAATATCCCATGATAACAGCACAATTTCCTCAATAATGACACATATCTGTGCAATAATAGCCTTACTAGACATGATAAGAAGTTGGTTTCTTGTAAATGCATGATTTCATTTATCATTTTATGAAAGTGGAATTTGCACTTGGTCTGTTGAAGATATGAATGTTGATGAAAGCCATAAAGTCTATGGGTCTTTTTCACCCATTTTAACATCCGCCAGGTAAAAAAAAATCAGCTCTCCTCATCAGGCCCCTCAATTTTAGGTATTATTCCACAAATCGTGAAGCTTGCGTAACAAGTTGACTACTTATGTTTAGTCTTTCTAGCACTAACTCCAAGTAGTAATGTCTTTCAATGATGGTCTTAGCAAGTTCTACTAATTATGAATATAAAGGCATTATTTCCACAAATTTTATGAGCAGGCACAATAAAAAGCTGGAAGGAATGTGTATAATAGATGTTACACAACTGGTAAGATTCCAGCCAATTAAGCCAAACCCTCGACGCAAGTCAAAGTTTGCCTGACGCAACACACACACAGACTCACACAAACAGACACATGTATATTCCCTTGAAGGCTGCTGATAATGAATGCAGTTGCTGTAGGGCTGCATGAAAAGCTTTTTTTTCCCCCTCTCAAAGAGATGTCAGTCAAATCTTTCCTGTAACTCATGGTGTTCACAAATAATAACAGAGCTCAAAGACATTTCTCCTGTTTTCACATTCACTGCTGAAAGAGATATGATCTGCCATAGAGAAATATGAATCATGATATATGATGGTCTATAAGGAGTGAATGAATAGATCAACACACGTATGGCACACTACTGGTCAAATGTTTTGAATAATTACGATTTTTTTCATGTTTTTAAAATAAGTCTCTTGTTCTCAGCAAAGGCTGCATTTATTTGGTCAAAAATACAGTAAATCAGTAATATTGTGAAATATTACAATGAAAAAAAAGTTTCTATTGTAATATATTTTAAAATGTAACTTATTCCTGTGATGGCAAAGCAAAATTAATATGCTGATTTGGTGCTCAAGAAACATTTCTTATTATTAATGAAAACAGTTGTGATGCTTAATATTTTTGTGAAAACAGTGATGAACAAAGTTCAAAAGATCAGCATTTACATGAACTAGAAATCTTTTGTAACATTATAAATGTCTTTACTGTCATCGATCAATTTAATGTGTTCTTGCCAAATTAAAGTATTAATTTTTCTTTAAAAATAGGTTAAAAAAACCGTAGTGTATCATGGTTTTCACCAAAGTATGAAGCTTTTTTGAACATAAGAATAAGAAATGCTTCTGAATGTCACAGAAAACTGGAGTAACAGCTGCTGAAAATTCAGCTTTGCCATCACAGGAATAAATTACATTTAAAATATATTAAAATAAAGAACAATTCTTTTAAATTGTAATACCACTTCACAATGTTAAATTTTTTCCCCTTTGGATGGAACACATTGATTCAGCATTACTGGATGAAAGTGAACTGGAACCAGATCAAAAATCCCCCCACGTTTAGAGGAATATTGTGTTTACGTCCTTGTTTATTTGACATTTATTAGTCAGGACAGTGAAGAGGGGGTATCGGATTGGGACATGACACAGTCCAGCCCCGAATCGGTCTCTGTAGAAGCACTACTACGGGCCTTAAATGTCAAGAGCAAGTACCACAGCTGACAATTTCCTAGCAATTTTATTCTAAGCAAATTTTTTTAATAAGTAAATTGAATATAACGACCGTATTGAAGTCATTGGCGTTTACAGCTGTGAGAGTGAAATCTTTACCTGTTTCTTACTGTATTATGGCCAATCTCAGTCAGGCTGGACCACACTGGCTCCACGTTCTTATTCACCTCTGTGACTCCGATGTCTCCGAGGCTGTTGGGATCTTTTCGGCGGAGCAGGTCATTTACCTTCGCTCCCATGGCTTTGCCCAAGTTCAGGGCGTTTTTTAGGTGCTGGCTGCCTCCCGTCTTCGATCCTGCCAGGGCAGAGGTGTCTGTGGAGGCTGCTGGACGAAAGTTCAGCTTCGGCTGTTCCACAGTGTTGCAGTTCTCAAACATGCTTTGGTCCACTAAGGAACAAAATTATAAAAAGGTTTTTCAGACAAAGTGATTCATACCACATTAACATTTAAAGGTGAGCTGTGACTTCAGTAGGTACTTAAATGCATGACTGTTTAAAACTGAAAGTGCAACACTGCAGAAAATTTTTAATTCTACCAATTTGTTCAACATAAACTCAATATTGTTACGTTTTATGCTTTCTAAGATCTATCAGATTAAATGGAGGGATGCATTTTCATGCTTTGGCTGATAACTGATAAATAACCAATATTAAATTTCTGCACTGTTTTTAATAAATAAATTGGTAATGCTTTACAATAAGGTTCCATTTGTTAACATTAGCTAACTACATTAGTTAACAAACTAACAATGAAAAATACTTCTAAAGCATTTATTAATCTTAGTTAATGTTGATTCCGAAATGTATTAATGCATTATTAAAATGAAGAGAAGCTTGTAACACTCCAAAGAGAAAGGAAAATTTGAAATCGCATCATATGACCCCTTTAATGTTAGTTAATGGTCCTGAGCTAACATGGACTAAAAATGAACAGCTGTATTTATTAACTAATGTTAACAAAGTTTAATAAATAATGTAACAAATGTCGAATACAATTTGTTTCGGGCCGGCTTTGGGTCAAATGTGGACTAGCCCAACCGTTGGGTTGAATTTTTACATTAGATTTTTGGCCCAGGGGTTGGGTTGGTCCATATTTGACCCGGAGTTGGGTTGAAGCAACCCAGCATTTTTTAGAGTGTACTACTTGTTTCACTTCTGTTTCAGTTTTTATAACCATTTCTTACTATGTGTAAGTTAGTTGTTATTTTTTAGCATGTGTGTTTGACAGTGTTATTTTTTAGGATTACTGATAAACTACTGTCGTTTGATTTGTATTATTTGTATTTGTTATTTATTTTAATTTTAGTTAAATTATGTCTAAATTTATTATGTCTGTATAGGTCTTTTATTAAGTTTTAGTTTTATTGAATTTGAGTTATTTTAATACTTCAACAAACTAAATGGAAATGAAATAATATATATATATTGAATTTATAAATGTCTATGTATGTATATATATATATATATATATATATACATACATGAATGTGTGTGTGTGGTTGTACATACACATATATGTAGTTGTTTTTTTGGTGTTTGGCTTAGTGTTATGTTAAAAAAAATTGTACATTTTAAATTTTTTTATTTAAATTTATTTAAATTTAGTGTTATGTTAGAATCATTATTATACTTTTATACCTTTTGTTCTTTAATATTTTGGATTGTTTTTAGCTTTATTTTTTGTTTTTCATTTAAAATGTTAAGTTTTGAAATTTTGTTGTATGCATTTGTCATTTTTCTTTAATTTCTTTATTTTTAAAATGTGTATAAGTAGTATTTATAAAGTTTTAGCTTTTAGTTTTGGATCTGTTTTTAGTTGTTTTAATACTACAATTGATTGCTTCTGTTGTCCTCATTTGTAAGTTGCTTTGGATAAAAGCGTCTGCTAAATGACTAAATAAATAAAAATAAATAAACAAATGTATTGCTCATTGTTAGTTAATGCATTAAATAGTTAACAAATGGAATAAATTTATAATAATAAAAAAATCTTTCTAAATGCTAAAAGTGGATTTAAGCATGACAACCCTCTAAAATACATGAAAAATACATTATAAAATACATGAAAAATGAATATTCATTTTGATATTTGTTAAAAACTACTTTCACAATGTGATAAAAAAAAAAACACAATTAAATATTCAGTATTACCTGACATATACTGTATATCCATTATCAACAGATACCATTTAAAAAAAGTACAGATAAACAATGACACCGATATCATGCATCCCTAATTTCATGCAGTAGTAATTAAGCATTTTATACATCAAATGTTGAATAGACAAGTACATGCAAAAAAAAAAAAAAAACACAACGACACCAACATAGGCAGAAAATGAGCATCAAAAAATAATAATAAAATAATAAAATAAAATAAAATAGAATAAATAAAAAAAAAAGCATTTGGCAGGTCAAAATAAGTCATGTTTCTTACCTCGGAACCAATTATTTCATGATTAGCATTTGAATGACAAAGAGAGCATAATTTATTGTTTGTATCTAACAAAACTGTGCATTAATGCTCATACATGCAACTAGAACAAAAAACAAAAGAAACAAACAAAAAAAACTTTTACCTTTTAAAAGGTGACTGAAGAGAGGGAGACCAACAGTGATAAAGATGGAATGATTTGCAATTTGCCAACAAAAGTGGCCCCTGATGTAGTGTTCTATTTCAACTTCAGCTTCAATTTAGGCCATTCAAAGCCGTTTACAATAAAAGCTGTATATTAGTCTGGCTATAATCAAATGTGATTTTAATAAACTCTTGAAGGCATTTGATGTGGCATAGTTATTTCCAGCTTGTTAAACTCAAACAGTTTCAACACTTGCTCATGGAGGAGTAAGAATTCTCATTAGCTGGTGAGTCTCTCACAGACGACAAACCTGGTCCACATACGAGACTAGAGAGGCTTTTCCACACAAATATTTGACAAAGAGAAGTTATTTTGATGCTGACAATGTCTTGGCTCTGCAGGCAAGGCAAACAGATGAATGAGGGAAATCTGTGTGCCAAAAACAGCATGCTGTTGTCATGGTAATCAGGGGAAAAAATGGCCAAAAATTCACAACTTACCATTTGCAATGGGTCTGCCTTTCTTTTCCAGACACACCACTGGGTAACAAAACCAGCTTAAATCATTGACAGGATTGATCTTCAAAACGTGCATCATCAGACTGAATTAATTCTGCAAAAGCTTAAACTAGCACAACATGCTGCGATAATGCGTGCTGGAGAGAAATGGGCAGAAGAAAAGTAGCTACTCGTCTGTGGTTTCATGTGATTGTCTGCGGTAGCACACCAATAGGGCCATCTGACATCTGAAAGAGATAACTGATGCCCAAACCACTAAGCACTTCACTGGCTGACACGTTACTTCATCTGCTAAAGCTACAATACCCAGACTAATTCTATCAGCCTCAGACGGGCCACCCACAAAACTAAAAAAATACTCAATTAGGTTGTCTGACTGCAAAAGCTCTTCAGCAAAATCACGTTTAAAAAGTATTTTTGTACAATCTATTATTCTAGTATAATCCATTTCAGATTTATCTGTCCTGAAAATGCAACTAAAAACAAAGCAATCTATGGTTGGTCAAGTTACATGTTATTCACACAGGCTCGTCCTGTCTAAGTGGGTAGTTTTGGGCCAAAACACATAGAAACTGGACCAGATTTTATGCTGAAAATCACAAGTATGGTTCTGTAAGTCTAGATTTTGAGTGAGGAAGAGAGAAAGTAGTAGGATGTACAGCAAATGTTCAGCTTCCAATTTTTAGCGTGACGCAGTGATCATTGGTTTTGATCCTTCTCCACAGGGCTGGACATTATCATGTAGCTCGTGGCTGCAGTTTAAAATACCTCACTGAGGCTCCGCCACAGTAGCAAATGTTAGGAGGGTATCTGACACGCTGCTATTCTGGGCTGGTTTATGAGCTCCTGATGTGTCCCAGCAGGAACACCTCTGGACCAAACACTGTCCAGCACACACATGCACACGCCGCATGGGTTACAGGGTTGCCACTTTTTGACCAATGAATTTCCATATTTCCAGTTAAGTTTAATGCACATTAAAAAACATCAAAAAAGCATGAACTTGAACAATTTTAATTGTTTTAATTTAAAATTTTAATTCAATTTTAAAATGATAATATAATTCTACAAATTATAATAAAATTCAAAAAAGCACATCCTATTGGATATATTTTTATTATAATTTCTAAAATTCTATAAATAATTATTCTAGAAATTATAATTACAATAAAATAATACACATTTTAAAAGTTCTTGCAAAAGACATTTCCTATTTGAGACATTGATGATATTTTTATAGGAAATATAATAATATAATATAAATATATATTATACCTTTTTATTTAAAATATCATATATTAAAAAGCTATTACATTAAATATATTAAAAAGTATATTTGAAATATACTTTGACGCAGTGATCATTGGTTTTGATCCTTCTCCACAGGGCTGGACATTATCATGTAGCTCGTGGCTGCAGTTTAAAATACCTCACTGAGGCTCCGCCACAGTAGCAAATGTTAGGAGGGTATCTGACACGCTGCTATTCTGGGCTGGTTTATGAGCTCCTGATGTGTCCCAGCAGGAACACCTCTGGACCAAACACTGTCCAGCACACACATGCACACGCCGCATGGGTTACAGGGTTGCCACTTTTTGACCAATGAATTTCCATATTTCCAGTTAAGTTTAATGCACATTAAAAAACATCAAAAAAGCATGAACTTGAACAATTTTAATTGTTTTAATTTAAAATTTTAATTCAATTTTAAAATGATAATATAATTCTACAAATTATAATAAAATTCAAAAAAGCACATCCTATTGGATATATTTTTATTATAATTTCTAAAATTCTATAAATAATTATTCTAGAAATTATAATTACAATAAAATAATACACATTTTAAAAGTTCTTGCAAAAGACATTTCCTATTTGAGACATTGATGATATTTTTATAGGAAATATAATAATATAATATAAATATATATTATACCTTTTTATTTAAAATATCATATATTAAAAAGCTATTACATTAAATATATTAAAAAGTATATTTGATTATAATATACTTTCTAAAGTTCTAAATTATAATTACAGTAAAATGCTATACATTTTTGAAGTCTCAGAAGAGACATTCTATTTGATATATATGTTTTATTTTTTCCATTATTGTTGGAACCCTGATGGTAAAACATTAAAATGCATTTGTAAGATTTTCTCATCTCTCAAGACCCCTGTATTTATAACCCAAAGAAAAATAATCACACTGAAAAGTGACCAGATTTTATATTTCATAATGCACTACATCATTCAGCACAGAATCAAAAAATAACTGATGAAAAAATTAATTACATGTATTTACACCCCAAGCCAAAAAACTACCATCTTTACTTGGATAAATTAGAAAATAACAACGAATAAATAAAGCAATTTAACCCATTATCTCCAAGTTGGCTGACCTAGATGTTCAGCAGAAGATGAGTCAAACATCAATATTTCATTTGAACCCTCTTTCTAGCCTGAATCTTTAAATACAAGGGCAGGGGGATGGGGAAAAGAGTTAGCCCTGGATAACACATGAAGAGAGGGTCAAGGTGGAGTAACTTGAAATGCACTTGCACCATCTGACTCCCTGTTATCAACTCAATCATTAACACAAATGAGCTGGAGCACCATAGTGGCACAGTGGCCCAGAATAAAAGCATCAGTGTCAGGACTTCTAAATGAAAAGAGAAGAGAACTTCACTTAAACTGCACTGTTAGGACTATCCATTAGCTTTATCTTTGTTGAACAGCACCACTGACTGACTAGTCTCCTTGGTACTGCAGATATACTGTAGAACATATAAGGGTAGAAAGGAAATAAATGAATAAAAATCCCCAAAAGAGCAACAAAAACAACACCACCAAAAACCGTAGATGGCATGGAAATGTTCCTGGTCAATAGCTATTTGTATGTTAAGCAGCGTGCTGGAACCTACACCAGCACTTAAAAAAATGCATTGGCAAAAAAATTGATTTTTGAAAGACGATAAATCTCAAACTATATCAGAACAGCGTTACAATTAAGGTGAGACCAAACAGCAGCACTGAACACACAAAAACTAGATGTGGAGATGTTATTATGGCAATGTTCTGCTACTGAAGAGAAAAAAATAACAGTGAACATAACAGGAGACAATGCCCCCGTTTTCATTCAACTTCAAATCTCAGATCAATAATTAATCAAAGGTTCCGCCACATCAATGTCAAGCAGTAACATGCATGCAATGCAGCTATCTGGAAGTTTACCACTGATGAAATAAAGAGATTTGTAGCAAGTAGACTGTGATTCCAGATAATGACAGCTTTTATACTTGATCGACAGTCATGTGTCGTTGAAGAAATCATTAGAACCTGATTAGACTCACGGTGCGTAACGGCACATTCTGTGAAATATAGCTAATTAATTTAGTTCTTTTAAGGGCAGTTTTTAATTTCATGGTGTTCCACCCTTGTGGGGCATAAAGGAGTTCAAATCAATTGAATTGTATTGGAGTTAACTTTATAATATGAAGGATTTTTTCTGGTCAAGTGCGGCGACCGTTCCCCGGATTTCACAATTCACATCTCCTTGGGTATCCTTCTAGGTCATCTAATTTTGTAATCCTGAAATGAAATGGAACACGAGTTTACAGTATCTACAATAGATGGAGCTAAACACTTCAAACTAAAGTACCCTGGCAACTTCAGGAGAAAATGTTCTCAAAAGCCTCCAGAGCGATCAGGTGGGCCCGGGCATCAGCTTCTAATTCAGAGGCACCTGAGTTTCCAACAGCTTCACTCAGAAGCGGCAGCCGTACTAAAATGAGATGTGATATTGTTATGCAATTTCAATTACGCCACAGGGAGAAGGATCAATCCGGCAGCCGCTCGTTTCCCTGAGCGTGCAAAAATGAGACTGGGACGCTCCAGAACATCCTTTAAATTACACAGCGATTCAGATGGTGTTCTCTGCACTTGCTGGTTTTGTGAGCTCTACATGTTTTAGTGGTTATTTTTATTTCTTGAAGCAGCTGTGCGTGCATATGGCATCTGAAGTGGTTCCATTTGCGTGCCAGCGATTCTTGGAATCGCAGAACGACTGAACCACAGTTTAAGTAGGAAAGTCAATCAACTGTATTCACAATGGATTTATGTGTAACTTAACTAGTGTAAACGTAGAGAAGGCTGCCGAAGTAATGCCAGTTTGTGTAGCCATTTTTAAAAGCTAGTTCAAATGATCCAGTAGTTCAACTTGGTGCATGTCACTGAACATTCACTGAGAATGACTCTCACACTGAATGAACACATTCACACAGTGACACCGCAGCGCTCTTAAAAATGACAGAACTCATTTTAAATGGCTTTGAAATGAGTCACATACTTTGAAAACCTGCAGTAACCTA